TCACTACCACCTGACAGATGCTCAGTGCCTTGAATGAAACGAGTTGGTCTCATTCCAGTTTCTAGAGAACAGGTGTGTGCATCACCAAAGGAGGGGGAAAATCTACTGCTAATTAACATCTTTGCTGGCAGGCTTAGCAGAAAGTCAAGAGATCAATGTCTGTGAAAGAGGCTGATTTGCTCTGGAGCAGAGAGGAACACACTGATGAACAATTGTGAAACCACAGTTCTCAATAAGTGCCCATATACCACAACTCCACACCCTGACACACGCCTGGGTGGGCATAGTCTACAGATGGTTATGTTGAGGCTTTGAGCCCTTTGAAAAACCCAAAAGGCAGCAATCATTGGCAGCCCCTTCACCAACTAAAACAATAAAATATGTTGCTAGTTGCATTTCCAATTTAAACCCTGCCTGTCCCATGAAATTCTCCCTATCTCTGATCAGATATCATTCCATACTCTGCATCTCCATTACTCATCGAGCACTCATCTAGTGTGTTCCTTACATGATTTTATATTCAGCACATCTAAACAGGTACTGAGAATAAGTGGCCTAGAATAAGTGGCCTCCTTTAAAACTGTGGTATCTACTGCTGATTCCAGAACCGTTCTCTTGCCCCTTGTTTAAACCCTGCCTGTCCCATGAAATTCTCCCTGTCTCTGATCAGATATCGTTCCATACTCTGCATCTCCATTACTCATCAGGCACTCATCTAGTGTGTTCCTTACATGATTTTATATTCAGCACATCCAAACAAGTACTGGGATTCTGGCCTGGAAAAGTGGCCTCCTTTGAAATTGTGATATCTACTGCTGATTCCAGAACCGTTCTCTTGCCCCTTACACCCCAGAGAAGCCTCGGAGTCCCTTGAGAGAGCCCTGCTTATCAAATCTAGGTCCTCAGACCAGTTAGACCTCAAGGCTCTATCCAACCCCAACCACATTCCTTACCCCTCTCCAGTCTTATCTTTCCTTATTCCAACCTCATCCTTTCCTCTTCAATCAATCAATTTGTCTTGCTTTCATTATATGGTTGGCAATTCTTTACTCTGTTGCCTTGAACATATTATCACCTCCACCAGGAATAGTCTCTTCTCTTCTTTCAACTAATCCACTGACATGACCTATCTCCTCAAAGACTTGGCTTAGAACTACCTAATTAGAAGAAGAGCATTCTCAGACCAGCCATGCATTGGGCATAGTTAGTGGTGCCCTGTATACTTTCTGTGATTGTGTTATCTCTCTGATCACCAGGCTGAACCTTCAAGGACAAGACTATGATCATCATGGTCTAATACAATGCTCTGCACACAGATGTTCCATGAATATTTGTGAATTAAAATGAATGTAATTTTTTTAAATGTTCAAAAAGTTAACACAGAAGTGACTTTTTAAAAAAATAGAGCTTAGTTTGTGGATCCACTTTTCAAACACAATAAATTGATGATGGAGGTAAAGTACTATGGACTGAATCCAACCCCAACCACAATGAATGGTTGTGTCTCCCCAAATTTATATGTTGAAACCCTAAACCCCAGATGATGGTATTAGGACAGTGATGGCGAACCTATGACACGGGTGTCAGAGGTGACACGCGAACTCATTTTTTTGGTTGATTTTTCTTTGTTAAATGGCATTTAAATATATAAATAAATATCAAAAATATAAGTCTTTGTTTTATTATGGTTGCAAATATCAAAAAATTTCTATACGTGACACGGCACCAGAGTTAAGTTAGGGTTTTTCAAAATGCTGACACACAGAGCTCAAAAGGTTCGCCATCACTGTATTAGGAGGTAGGTCTTTGGGAGGTGATTAGTATGAGGATAGAGCCCACATGAAAGGGATTAGTGCCTTATAAAGAGGCCCCAGAGAGACCCCTTGTCCCTTCAGCCACGTGAAGACACAGGGGAAAGATGGTTGTCTATGAACAGAAAGTGGGCCCTCACAGACAAAGAGCAGGCCTGCCTTGGACTTCCCAGCCTTCAGAACTGTGAGAAATAGGTGTGTGTTGTTTATAAGTCACCCACTTCATAGTATTTTGGTTATAGCATTCCGAATGAGTTAAGACAGGAAGTAAAAGAGAAGTAAAAGGAATGATTAGCCATCAGATCTTAGCCTCCTCCACTGCTATTTCCACCACTTCTTGACCAATTGTAACAGGAACTACCATTTGATGAGTATACTCTTTGCCAAGCACCATATATACTTTGTCATATTACCCTAAGATAGAAGTTTTTATTCTTTTTTTTTTTTAAAGAGTCGTTTGTTTGTTTTTTTCAGTCCTCACCTGAGAATATGTTTATTGATTTTGGAGAGAGGAAGGGAGGGAGAGAGAAATATTGATGAGAGAGATAAACATCCATCGGCTGCCTCCCATATGCACCCCAACCGGGGGTCAAACCCAAAACCTAAGTATGTGCCCTGACAAGGAATTGAACCCGAAACCTTTTGGTGTACAGGACGATACTCCATCCACCTAGTCACCCCGCCAGGGCGAAGCTGTTATTCTTTTATTCTCATTTTGCAGAGGAAGAAACTAAGGCTTAGATAAGTTAAGCAAATTGCTCAGAATCACAGTGTAAGTAGAAAGTCAGCTTCTGCTGAACTAAGAGGAAAGGATGGAAAGGGGTGGGAAGGAAAGCACATGAGAAAGAAGAATCATTTGGTCACATTTTGCAGAGCGGCATCCAGTTCAATCTCCAAGCCTAACTGTGGTGGCTGCAGGGGTGTGGCCCAGGTCTCTCCTTCAGGACCCAGGGAGGCTCTTGCTTCCCATTTCCCATCGGGGAGGAGTGGCTGATGGCTCACAGCTAAACCCAACCTGGGATCTGTCCCTGGAAGAAGGGAGCTGCCTCAGCCAAGTTACAGCCCCTCTCAGGGCCAGTCAGATGAAGGGGTACAAAAACCTGAGCGCCTTGCCTCACTTTAGGATATTTTTGAAGGGTCACCCCAACTTCAGCTATTCCATAGAATCAGCCAAGGCCTCTAGGACAATATTCCAGCTCAGCATTTCCAACCGCCCGATTCTGCCTTCCTCCTTTCCTCCCTGACATTTGTTGTTCCTGAGAGCACACCCCTAAAAATCTCCCGCAGGCAAATTTCTGCCTCTGAGCCTGTTCCCTGGGAAGCTGCCTGAAGACACTAAACATGAATGGGAAAGCAGAAACCAGGGCCCACAGTCTGTGCTCTAGCCCAGCGATTCTCCATCTTTTTCATCTCGTGGCACACATAAACTTATTACTAAAATTCTGCTACTAAATTACTAAAAGGGTCTTATATTTTTTGCTGATCTGACAAAAATAATAGGTATAATTTTGATTCATTCACACTGGACAGCTATTATTGTTTTAGCTGCTGTTAATTTTTTATTTGACAATCTAGAGGAAACGAGGTCGGTGCCCCTGACTAAATAGTCAGGCATTTCAGGTATTGCATATTCTAAAAGTTCTCACGGCACACCGGTTGAAACTCATTTCTCTAACCGGAAACCAGGAGCAAGATGCTGGAGGGACACCTCCAAATCTCCTCACCTAGTGTGTGTCAGCTGTGGAAAACCTTGTGACCCGGCAGAGCCTGGATGTGCATCCCTCCACCCCATGTTCCCTTTGCTCCGGTTGGTGACCTTCCCCGTCCCCCTCTCCCATCAAGTACCCAAACCTCGACATTCTCTCTCTTCTCACCCCTCTTTCCTATCAAGCTGCGTTTTCAGGAGTGGATTTGATCAACTTAGTCACACAAAAGGAAAATTAATTAAATTCATGTACTACTGCTCGGGATTGAAAATAAGCTCATGCTCATTTCAAGTTTAAACCAAGGAAAGGATATGTACAGCAAAATTCCAGATATTTATTTATTTACTCAGTTAAAACATATGTGAGCACCTGCTGGGCAGAGCTGGTCAAGAGCTGTGTGAAAGGGGACTGTTTTAGGTTGGGGGTACCCACCACAGCCTTTGGGAACTAACCGCAGTGGCTGACACCACGGGCCTCTGAGACCTCCACTGGATGTCCATCTATGTCCCAGGTGCCATGAGGGTGCACTAATTTTATACTGATTTATGCGGCCACTAGCAGCTGATGAATCACCACATTGCAACAGGAGCAGACATTTCTGTGTGGATCCCCCACTTCTCCGGGACTAAATGAAAATCTAGTCTTTTCATATGGAGTTCATTTCACCAGCAAAACAAAGAAGGAGGCAATCAGTCCCTCTTCTGTCAACTCAAAAGCACACGAAAAGCTTTTCTCCAGATCCTAGGAGATGGTTCAGAAGAGGCAGCAGCCTTTTAAATCCAGTCTTCCCTGCTCTTCAGTAGAGGCATGTTTGGGTACTTTTGGACAAGTTCAAGGTAAAGGGCACATAGGAAAAATTCACAGAGAGGTTTGCCACAGGCGATCTACTCTCTGAACGATTCCTGATTCCTATGTCTACTAATGGAAGATGTTGCTTCTAAATTTCTCATGTCTCAAAAATGAACACGGGAGTTGCTGCTCGGCTTGTCACAGATGAATATATAACAGCTACGAGGCAGCAGGCTCAGTAGAAAGAGCAAGACACTGGAGACTCGACAAAGAATTTTAATTGCCAAAGAATTTTACTGTTACCTTGCTAGAAATCCCCCTACAAGTCAGTCACTTAACCTTTCCTTTAACCTGGGTTTTTTTTGTTTTATTTTGTAAGTGAGATTAATACAGGTTCAGTTCACAGTTTGTTATCAGGTATAATTAATAAAATACACAAAACTGTCTATCCTACATTATTCACTAATAATTCCCCAAGATAATATAAACTCTCCCTTTGGCAACATAAATGTAGTTTTTTTTAATTTGGTAGATGTGCTTTCATTAATAAAAAGGTAAGGTTTTAAATACTTAGATGAGCATTTTTAACTTACATGTACATGCCAGGGAAACTATAGGCAGAAAATAGTGTGAAGTCTGACTCACCGGGTGAAAGGGGCTTGCAGGTGGAACCTAAAGCTCTGGGAGAACTTACCTTGAAATACTGCCACAGATGACCGAGCACGGGACCATGTTGTGCAAGTACTGAATGGCTTTGGCTGTTCCGATTAATACACTGATCCGAATGTGCCAAGAGAGTGGGGCGGTGTTCCCCTAAAAAGACAAGAGTAGTTGCTTTAGTTGCACTTTCGGAGTGAAAGCCAGACATGTATTCATTACACAGAAGATTGCCTGAACAGAAGCTGGGCTTACAGTAATGGATTTTTAATTCAAGAAAGGCTTTCCTCTACTTCCAATAGCTGTTCTAGGCCTTTGTAGCTAGTGAGATACCTATTAATGTTAATATTAGTTTAATCAAATTATGGGTAATAAGGAAGTTATGTTTAACAGTTCATTAAATAAGATTTTAAAATTATCTGTGGCATAATAGTGTGGATAATTGAAAATAATCTGATTTTATTCTCATCTTAACTGAAACCTATCTTATTGGAATCAATTTTTAAGCATATTTCAAAAAACACCTTATGAGAAATCATGACGTTTGTTCAACCTCCTTCACTTTAAGGAGTCTGTACCATTTTTATGTTTATGTGTATTGAATGGTACCTTGGTAATGTTATATAAATAAAAAATGATCTGAGAAGTAAGAGTAATTGATGTAAACTCATTTGAGATGTAGAATCAATAAGGAGTAAGGACCTAGCAAATCTTTTGGCCACCATGTTGCACAGCACGTAGTAACTCAGGTGTTTATGCCGTCTTCTAAGAGCAAGAAATTAATTCATGGAGAAGTCCTCTGCCTCCTTGGGAAACCCAGTGTAGGTTGTCCCCTCATGTGAACGTGCACACTGGGCTCCCAGCTCTCATCAAAGGTTTCAGCGACAGGGAATTGGAGTAGCAAGAAGAGTAATGGAAATGACTTACTACGCACTGTAATCTGTCAAAAAGTGATCCGTTTCTCATGAATGGATAAACCAGGCAGAACTTCTCACTCTCTGTAAAGTATGCGGCCAACTCCAGGATGTTTGGATGATGAAATCTTAAAACACAAGATTTGATTTAAATCCATCAAATTGCTTATTCAACAACACTCCGGCCACGGGGTGGGGAATAGGTGTAAAGCAGAATATAAATTTGGCCAAGAAAGAAGTAATTTCATTGGACACACGACACAGGTTTGCTTTCCAAATTGGTCAAGTGTTCTAACAAATACTAGTCACTCTTTGATTGATTGTGACCATGCAAATACAAATAAAATATCCAAATATAAGACAAAATTTAAGAAAGCGGAGAGTTCTTAAGATTTGGAGTGTTGGAAACTATACAACAAATAGACAACAATACTGAATATTAATTTATTTTTATCAGCATAAAACTCAACATAACTTATTTATTAAATAAGTAAAGATAATGCAACTGAAATTATCCATTTCATTGCTTTAGGTAGACATGTGTAAGTTAAGTCACCAAAAGAGAAGGGTACCAAAGACTTGTTTTCATTCATCCATTTATTGAGAGCTATGATGCTGCAGGTACTGCATCAGTCACACAGGTAAAAGATGTAGCCAATGTCTTCACAAAGTTTGTATTGTTATCTGAAACCCATGTGACTAGTAAAGTTTGATAATGAAACACATATCACTGATTTTTAAATCATAGAATTCTATGTCAGTGTAAGATTCATTTTCAGGCTCCTTTCTTTCAAGCTCTATTTCTTGAATGTGTGTGTTATCACTGTGAAAACCAATGAAACCCAGGTAATAACTATGAAATACAAAACATGTGAACTTCCCACATACTGTGAATTCAGTTCAATTAATCCATTATTTATTGAACATCTACTGTGTTGTAGGCATGCTTAGGATATTAAAATAAATAAAGCTATTTTTTAAAAATGGTTCTATTTATAAAGCCCTATTATTTGTTTCTTCAATAGCAAAACGTTGCTATAACACACACACATATCTATAGGGTATCCAAAAAAAATGTACACACACTTTGAATAATTATTAATTCCAATGGGTTAAATCTGAAAATAAAGAAACATCAATTGAGCTATCAGACAAAAGTATGTATACATTTTTGGGGACACCCTGTATATAGAGATATCTATCTATAGGGAGATTATCTATCTGTTCATCTTTCTATCTATCTATCTATCTATCTATCCATCTATATCTCCCTTCTGAGTCCTTCTATTCCTCTTTCCTCAAGAAAGGTGTGTGTGTGTGTGTATGTGTGTATACAAACATATACTCACATACAAACACACAGACTTTTATTGTTAAACTAGTGGCTCAGTGCACGGATTTGTGCACATTGAAAGGAAATTAATTAGAAGAAAGATTCGTGCAGTAATTACTTTAGTGCAAAAAATTACATGTCAAAATAGTATATATAATATAGTATTATAAAATTAAAACGTGTGCAATTGGCACCAGTGAGAGCTTTATATGTATCATGCATGCATGAGTCAATGTTTATTTTTCAATTGCCAATGGGCGTCATATGTACTGGCTGGTTCGTCGGTCGGACGGTCAGATGGACAGACGGTCGGTCACTTAGCTTTTTATATATATAGATATGTGAAAAACTGTGACACAAAGATTCCTGCACCTATTATGATTCAGATCATATCTATAAAATGAAAAGCAATGGACTGAAAAGGAAGTGAATTGGTGTATTTGGTTGCTTAAATAGCTGATCTATGCCACTAGCTGGTTGATTCTCCTGCAGTTTAAAATAATTTAATCTATATATAAGCGACCGAACGACCAAACGACTGGTTGACCAGTCGCTATGACATACACTCACCACCAGGGGGCAGACGCTCAACGCAGGAGCTGCCCCCTGGTGGTCAGTGCACTCCCACAGTGGGAGTGCGGCTCAGCCAGAAGCCAGGCTCACAGCTGACGAGCGCAGCTGCAGTAGCGTGAGCCTCTCTTGCCACCGGCAGAGCTACTGAGCGGCGGCAGCAGCCGGTATAGCATGGCCGGGATGAGCTGGAGCAGCGCCTGGCCCCCACTTGGGCTCCTCTCCTGCCGCCTGCCACTTCTCGCACTGCTATATCCCTCAGGGGATGTTGGACTGCTGGTTTCGGCCCAATCCCCGCAGGCCTGAGCTGGCATGCGGGGATCGGGCCAAAACCTGCAGTCCAACATCCCCCAAGGGGTCCCAGATTGTGAGAGGGTGCAGGCCAGGCTGAGGGACCCCACTGGTGCATGAATCTGTGCACTGGGCCTCTAGGGAAATATAAATCTTTCGGAAAGCAGTAGATAGAAGACCTTGTATAGACACAGCCATGGCTCTGCTCTCCTGCTTACAGAGCAGAAATGACCATTTGCTTATTTTTAATTATTACTGATCAAGCAAAAACATGGTTACTTTTTATCAAGGTATGGACCATGGAAATGCCATAGGAATGACTGCTGGTTTTAATTATATGGACCCATCTCACCCATTCTTTCACTAAAATCCTTTCAGTGGGATTTTAGATTATATAGATCTAAAGGTCAGCAAGTCAACAAATATTCTGAGTGCCTACTACAGATAAAACATGATGCAAGTTACTACCATGTGGTAGAACAGACAGACTTGAACACAGACAAACCTGGGTTTGAATCTCTGGCTTTCTTTTTATCAGCTGTATAAACTTGGGCAAGTTATTTAATCTCTATAAGCTGAATTGTGTTCCCCCCAAATCCATATCTTGAAACCCTATCCTCCAAAGTGATAATATTTCAAGATGAGGCCTTTAGGAGATAATGAGGGTTAGATGAGGTCATAAGGGTGGGGTCCTCATAATGGGATTAGTGCCCTTATAAGAAGAAGCAACAGAGAGTTTACTCCCTTTCTATACCACGTAAGCACAAAACAAGAAGGCAGTCATTTGCAAGCCAGAAAGAGAGTCCTCACAGTAATCAAATCTACCTTGACCTTGATCCCAGCCTCCAGAACTGTGAGAAAATAAATCTCTGTTGTTTAAGCCAGCCAATCCTGAGATTCTTATGAAAATTAAATTAAAGGTTAAACATTTAGCCAAGTCCCAGAACCTCAGAAATTATTAACTTCTTTCCCTTCCCTTGAGGAAGAAGGGGGGAAAAAGAACCAGAAGCCACATTCTAAGGAGTTTACAATTCTATTTAAGGCACAAGGATTAAGCAATTTCCTTAATATTAAACTAAAAAACAAAACAAAAACTTATCCTCAGGTCTCGGCTTAGATGTTATTTTTTCCAAGAAGCCTATTCTGCAGCCCCCCCTCCCCAACAAGTTTCTATTTCCAGTTTCTTCAGTGCCTGTACTTCCTCATCTTATCACTTAATTTTCTGAAATTGCCTATTATGTACTTCTCATCTAATCTCACTCCAAACATCTCAGATACTATGCTCTGAAAGGAGAAAGCTGCATCTGTCTTACTCACAAGTAAATCTCGGAGAAGAGGGAGATTGAAGATAATTTAGGAAATAAGTTGAAACTTGTAAAAAAAAATATAGAATCTACCTCAGTTTCTTCATCTGTATGTAAAATAGGGATAATAGCTGTACTTACCTCATAGGCAAGTTGATTACCACACAGGTAATCCTATAATTATCTCATAGTATTAAAGAATCAATACATGTAAAGTTCTTGATAAATAACTATTAGCAATATAAATAATAATGATGGCACATGAGGAATATTCAACATCATAGAGTTATTATGTCTCCCTAAATAAACATACAAATACCTTACCAGAATAACTCTAAATGAACCAGATCTACAAATGTAAAAAATGAAATCATAAAAGTACTTGGAAAAAAATGGCAATATTTTTTTATAACCTCTCAGTAGGGAAGAACTTTTAAACTATGATATAAAACCCGGAGTCCATAAAGAAAATATAGTTGAAAATGTTAAATTCAACTACATGAAAACCATTTCCACATGGCCAAAACTAGATAGAATAAGCAAAGACAAATGACAATCTGGTTAAAAAAAAAAAAAAAAAAAAAAAAAGCTTGTATCTCATAACATAAAAACAGGGCTAATTTTCTCTAATATTTAAAATGCTCTTACAAACCATTAAGAAAAATACCCAAAGGCCTAATAAAAACAGGGGCAAAGGATATTATAAGATATTTTCATAGAAAAGAAAATATATCTTTTAATATGTAAAAAGATTCACTCATAATAGAAAAAGAAATTTAAACTACCCTGAGAAACCATTTCCACCTAGCAGATTGGCAAAAATTAAAAGTTAATAATAAACACTATGTTGGCAAGAATATGGGGAACCAGGCACTCTTACATATGACTGGTATAAGTATAAATTGGTATAACTGAAAGACAATTTGGTAATATGTCATACATTTCACCATTTGACCCTATAATTTTATTTATGTAAATTTATCTTAGATATATTCAAATATTTATATATGAAATAACATGTAAAAGTTTTTTTGTTGCAGCGTTATTTTTTAATAATAATAAATTAGAACATAAAAACCCATCAATAAGAGAATGTTACAGTACAGCACACATGGAATACTAAAATAAGCAAAGTGAACAAAGTATTTTTGCTATCTCTTGTGTGAGAAGAAGAAAATAAGAAAACAAATACATAATGGAAAACATACAAGAAACTGATAACTCGATTGCTTTGGGAAAATCATCTGGGTGGCCAGATGATAATAGTGGAAGAAATCATTTTCTTGGTTTACCCATTTTCACTTTTGGAATTTTGAAATCTTTTGAACTTCTTTAGTCATAAGCAAATAAATAAAGCTTAAATATAAAACCCTTATTATTGCAATTTTGCTTTTAGTTGTTCATTGAGTAAATGATAGATATTAAGGTTTTTAAATATATGTTTTTATTGGTTTCAGAGAGGAAGAGAGAGAGAGATAGAAACATCAATGATGAGAAAGAATCATTGATTGGCTGCCTCCTGCACACCCCAGACTGGGCATGTGCCCTGACAGGGAATTGAACCGTGACCTCCTGGTTCATAGGTTATCACACAACCAGTGAGCAACACCAGCTGGGCTAGATATTAAGTTTTTATTTATTTTTATTTTTTCTTTTTATGTTTTTTTCTTTATTGATTAAGGCAGTGGTTCTCAACCTTCTGGCCCTTTAAATACAGTTCCTCATGTTGTGACCCAACCATAAAATTATTTTCGTTGCTACTTCATGACTGTAATGTTGCTACTGTTATGAATCGTAATGTAAATATCTGATATGCAGGATGGTCTTAGGCGACCCCTGTGAAAGGGTCGTTCGACCTCCAAAGGGGTCGTGACCCACAGGTTGAGAACCACTGGATTAAGGTATTACATATGTGTCCTTATCCGTCCATTGCCCCCCCACCCCCACCCCTCACTCATGCCCTCACCCACCTGGTGTCTGTGTCCATTGGTTAGGCTTATATGCATGCATACAAGTCCTTTGGTTGATCTCTCCCCCTTACCCGCACCCTCCCCTACCTTCCCTCTGAGGTTTGACGGTCTGATCGATGCTTCTGATATTAAGTTTTTAAAATTAGCCTTTAAGATTTTGATTTCTGGTCCTGGATGTAAAAGGAGAAGGATTTATACTCCCTCCCCCAGGCACGTATTGGTCACGTTTGAAGAGAACATTTTCTATTTGTAAAGGGTGATGATTGACTCTCTAGGGTTAGGGGCCTTCAATGAGGCAGGCTACACAGCTGCAGATATGAATATATATGAAAATGAAGTCATTTTAGTTTGTCCCCAAGGACTCTCAGGCTCATGAATGAATTCCCAGAAAATAACATACACATCAAAAGTACTTGATCTCTTTGTCTAAAATTCTCTTCCTGACGAGGGTTATACCGATGAAACAGTTTCTTGACTGGAATGTCTCTAAGGAAGAGGGAAATGGTGAAATATATACAATTCTAATGTTCTAGGAATTATTTTACACTCAGCTATGTTAGTCACACATGATTTAACCCACTTCCCTGTGACAGTTTCTTGTTAAAATATGTTCAAGTGAATTATGTAAATGGCCTATTTTTAAATGTATTCTAAGGAATATACTAAAGCAGATGTCAGAAATTTACACAGTGTTCTATTTCCAACCCTTATTTTTTAAATGCCAACCATGCTGCAGAATCAAAGATGAACAGAGATGAAAACCAGACACAAAGGGAGACATTCCAGGCAAAATATACTCACAGTAGTAAAACTTCAAGCTCAGATAAAAACCTCTTCCATTGTTTCTTGCATTGCATTGTTTTCTCCTAAATATCATACAGAAAAACAAGGGGGAAAAATTACGGAAAGGCTCGCTATTCCTGGGAGTCTTAGCCTAGGGCCATGGTCTCCCTGAAATTAGATGAACTTTTTGGTGTAAGTGCAAATAAGCATTTTTCTGGAAAGAGAATCCTTAGATTTAATCAGATTTTCAAAAATCCATTAACCCCCAAACAGATTTAGAACCAATGCTATTAAATTTTAATTTTTTTAAATTAAGTTTTTCATGCAATGCATCATGTTGCCATATTCTATAGTTTAAACTTTCATCTTTTTCATAAATTTAAAAATAGCATATGTATTCAAATAAATCCCATGATGTCTAGAAATTCCCCACTTGATCTCATGAAGAATTCAGTTTGTCATCCCTGCATTCTGGTTAGAAGTGGTCTCACTAATTTGGCATTTATGACTTGGGTCATGTGAACACGTTGGTTCAAGTTTACCTCTGTATTAATTTTGGAAAGATGGGCCTACTAAGCAAATGGAAAATATAACTCCTTACTTCAAAGATGCTTCAGAAGCTAGCCCAGTGCCTGACAAATATTTATTGAATAGATTAGTGAGTTCAATGATACTGTACTGAGCATCTATTCTGTGCCTGGCACTGTTCTCCAGGGCTTCATACACCTGATGTCACACTTGTCTCTGAATCTCAGGTTCCTAACTTCTACCATAAAAGAGTTAAATTAAGTGTATCCTTAGGTCCCATCGGCTGTAAGGTTCTTTCATTTGCAAATTGCTAAACTGGGCAGTTTTCAGACCTCTCTGTCCTCAGAAATAAAGGGAGAGAAGTCCAACAAGAATTCTGGAAACTATTTTCCGAGTTAATCCAGAAAGTCAGAAACAATAAACTAGTTTGACAGCTCATTTTCAAAGACATCTTTATGAAAATTTATATTTCAAAAAACCATTGTCATGCGATCCAAGTGGATTGGGTCTCAGGCTCATTTCTAGCACTCACTATTGGTGATTTTTTTGTCACTTAATCTCCCTGAGGTCAGAGCTTTCTTAATCTGAACAGTGAAGGGTTTAGTTTCTGTGTTCGCGCTAACCTAGCATTCTTGCTGCTCAAAGTGTGGTCTGTGCACAAGGAACATCAACTTCACTAGGAGCTGGTGAGAAAGGCTGAGTCTCAGGTCCCTGCCCAGATGTGCTGAGTCAGAACTGTAAGCTCCCCAGGTGTTGGATGTACCTATCTCACACATCTAGTATGTTTCCCTCTTCCTTTGTCATCTCCTGTCTTTTTACTCCTAGATATTAGCAACGAAAATCACAAAACGGGCATATTTATCATTCATTTCATTGCTTGACAAACATTTATTGAGCAACTACTATGGTTCAGGCCCTGTAGTGAGGCACTGGGATACTAAGATAAGTAAGAGCTCTTTGAAGAAAACCATCTAGCCTATTGTGAGAGACGGGTGAAGAAATCAATACTATGATATAATGCAGTGATGCTGTGTCTACACTTAGGAGGGTCAGCAAAACCATCCTGGAGAGGTCAGAGGCAATCAAAGAAATAATTCTCTGGGGCAGGAAAGGAAGGAGATCTAGAGGCAATGACATTTCATTCTGAAGCCAAACTCCTGGAAACAAAACTCCCCAAAGGGAGTGTGAGTTGGTGGTAGCTGCAGAGAGAAGAGGAAGGTAGACGGATGGAGCCTTTGGGGAGGTGGCCCTGGAGTGCAACCAAAGGAGAATGTACAAATGGGGCCAGAGACACATTAGTGCTAAGACACAGGCTCTAGTTAGGCCACCTCTACAGTAACCGCATTCTCTGTTGAATGGTTTTACCGGTAAATAGTTCCATTTGTTTAATAGACCATTCCTCTTATCAGAAATTTTGAGATGTCTATATAGAATTAGTGGACAAAATGCAATTGAGGAAATGGAGAAATCAGGCTAATAATTTTTTAAGTCCCTGTAATGTAAGCTGCAAAGTAGGATTCATCTCAGGTCCTCCCTCTTTCTCCCCTATTTCCCCAGTCCTATCTAATAGATCACTATTTTGGTCCGTTTCATCTCTTTTCTTAGACATTCTCCTTGCCATCCTCCCTGCCTCTACCCCACCTTACACTGGCTACATCCGAACCACCTGGGAAGCTTTTAAAAAACACTGATGCCACCCTGGCCGCTGTGGCTCAGTTGGTTGGAGCATCATCCCATACACCACGTCCTATATGATGTCTCCTATATCAATGTTTCTCTCTCTTGCTGGCTCTCTCAATATCAATTTTTTAAAAATATTGATGCCTGCCACCACCGCCCCTAGTCTGACCTAACCAGAAACTAAGGGGATCATTTTTTTTTTTAAAGCTCCAGAGGTGATTCTAATATTAGGGCTAAGAACATTAGTTTAAGCTCAATTCATGTACACATCTGAAAGATCCCTCTGCCAGGTCTTGTCACCTCCGGTTTAAGTTCTTGCCACCCTTCCTCCAATGCTTCTGCTCACTTCCTGTCTATCATCTAATCAAAGTTATATTTCAAGAACTCAAATCTAGTCTTTTCACTCTCCCTCTTACAAACCATCCATGGACGTAATCTATCTTTCCAGTATCATTTTCTGCCTCTTCCTTTCCACCCCCACACTGATCTCTACTCCACTGAATGACCTATTATTCATGAGTAAGATGCTTTCATGCCTGCGCCTTCAGGCCTGTGCCTCTGCTACTTATTCCACCCCAGAAGTACTTCCCTCCCTCACTGCCGACCAAGTTCTACTCATCCTTCAAAAGCCAGCTGAAAGGTCACTTCCTTTCATCCACTCCTCCATCTGTTCATTGCAGACATTTTTAGTGAATGGTTACTCTGTGCCAGGCACTCTCCTGGGTGCTGGACGCGCCCCTCCTCTGGCTATATGGTACGTGATCCTGTGACTTTTTGGACAAATCGCTGCGAAAGTACTTCTCACATTGCAATTTAACATTTTCTTTAGCTGGCTGTTTCCCCTGTTAAACTCTGAGCAACTTGAGGACGAAATATGCCTTATTCATCTTTGCAGGCTCAACACCCAGCCCATAGAAGGAGTTTAGAAACTGTTTAGTAATTGTTGACTAACAGTGAAGCACATGAGGAGCAGCTCTTTGCGGGGTATGGTGTACCTATCTCTGCCCGACTCCTGGGTTAGATGCCTCAGGACCCTTGCTGCTCTACTGGCTACAATCACTCAGCTGTCTCCCAATCTCCTACTCTCATTGTCGCCTTGCTGCTCCTACTTGAAGCCTCCCCTTTGCTACTCTCCAGAGCTCTGACAGAAGACCATTTATCAAGCAGCATGGGATGCCAGTCTGTGGCTTAGCCTGTGAAGCTGCCCATCAAACAAACAGGAAAATGGGACCAGCCCGCACAATCTGACCATCTGAAGCGAAGTCCCAAAGGTCCTACAAGGCTTTTCAGAAAAGTCTTTCTCATGCAATACATCTGGGGGTGGGAAGGCTTTGACTTCCACATTCCTGCCAGACAGTCATTCATTTCATTTCTCAGTCATTTCTCCAGTCACCTAAGATCATATATCTTATTTCCATTTATGAAATTATATTTTCAAATGCACCTCTTTTCAATCTTGATGAAAAATGACACCTTCTAGTATGAAGCATAGCAAATAAGTGGAACTGATATTCTGTGGCAGTAATTCTTTCCATACCTGTTTAAACAACTTAATGGCATAGGTTTGGTTTTGGATCTCCGCTCTGTATACCTCGAAAATCTCCCCTTCTCCGATGAGGAAACCTTTGTGGAAGTTGTTGGTTCCTTCTATGATGTTTTGAAAGCTGATAGAAGAGTTAAGCACTGTTCCTTTGGAAGGAAAGTAGAGAGAAGATAAGTTGCCTTTTCTTTTTTTATGAGTCAATGCCACCATTATAAAGAACTAGGACTTCCATGCCAGAAACGCATCGAAACCCCATGGAAAGTCAGTGGGGTGAGGCCCAGGAACCAAGTGGAAACCCACCATGTGCTCTCTGCACATTTACTCAGGTCTGGTGCCCACCATTTCACAGAGCAAATGGCTTTTTGGATATTCCAACAAGAGCACTGTGGTTCTAACACCCTTACAAAGAGGTCAGCCAAAAAGCTTAGTTGGGAAACTTTTCCAAGGTTCTGTTTCTTTGTCACTAGAACTGTGAAGAATGTAAAAACCAGTAAAAAAAAAAAAAGTATATTAGTGGAAAACTTGCTATTACTAAACAATATTTTCCAAGAATGACTGATGGAAACATTTTTCATTAGCCAAAACTTCTAAATGCCTATTTTTACTTTGGCAGAATAAATTAGGAAGATGCTAAAGCAGAGATTGGGAAGAAACATTTAAAAAGTAATCAAATATCAATCCAAAAGCAAAAGCTTGCCTAAGTCCTTCAGAACCCAATTTTGGCTATATTTCCACATTTAATGTTTGATTTAGACCCTATTGCTAAATCTTAAAAGGACCAACATTTTCTAAATCTCTCTTGAACCAAAGAAGCATCAGATCTAGTGGCAAGGATTAGACAAGGCAGCCTTAGAGAGCCACTAAAGTTGATCAGAATGATTCCTAGGCAGAACTAAATTATTCTCTAGGAAAGTTGATACGGAAAATAACTGGATTTTCATAGTGACTTTCAGAATTGCTCTACAAACATCTCTAAAAATCTCTGCGAATGCCATGAAAAAATTTAAAGCTATGTAAAACCCAACATAATTTTTAGATGCTTTCCTGACACATAAAAATAGCAAATTTCACTAACAAAAAATAAGAAATCCCCTAAGAGACCACAATTATGTTCTTCATTGGCCAATAGATTTCTAATTTCACAATGATATAGCATCAGAACTGTCTCAGTCAAAATTGCAAATAGTTTTATATCTATGAAAATTTTATCCTGAATCTGCATATTAATGAATAGTTAATATACTTATTGGATATTTCTCCCTCTCAAATGACTTAATTGAACACATGATTTAAAAAGAAGTTTGGGTGTTTGATTTTTTGTGTGTTTTTTACCTTTTTTATTATGTTCAAAGATAGGAACATTATCCACTGTGACATTGGCTGTTTCCTAAGAGAAGAAATACATACAAAAGTAATTCAGTTTCATAAGTCTAGATAGAACAGAATTTCAACAGAAATCCAAAGCTCCCTCTGGGACTATACATTTCAATAGAGTGAAATCTAATTTAGAAGAAAGCTAGTAGAAAGCAAAATTATTGTATTTTATTCAATGATATTCATTGCCTTTTATATTTAAGGCTTCCAGACCAACTGTAAAAACTCAAATATCAATGTCATATTCAGTTATACTCAATTTTAAATGACTTCTATTGCTATAAAAGTGATCACTGCTAATTTGCTGTAAGAAAAGCTAACAGCAATATGCAAAGCACCAATTAGAACAGGAAAATTAAGACAAATGCATAACTCCCAGCACCCTTAATAGTTCTAAGTCTCATCTCTGACAGATCACTGCGAGGAGAAAGTGAACTCTTCAAGCATCTATGAATCTCTAATTTCCTGAATCCCCAACTAAACAAAGAATAATGAGAGCCGGGCTTGTCTGCTTTTACATGGGTACCTGAAGTGCAGCATTTTTCTGCACTTATGCTCAATTATGTATGCAACAGAGTTCAAGGGTCATTATCTGTGCGCGCACACTCTACCTTGGAGAACAAGTCTGGAAATCCATCCCCCTGATGACTCTGCTCTGGAGGATTCAAGGCTGCTCCTGAAAGAGAGGTAAGGGGAGCTAGATACAAAAACCTTTTATGTTCCTAATAAACATGTTCTTTTTTCTTTCTTAGACTGCGAAAATAAACACCTTGCTAGTAATGTTCATTTCTCAAGCTCAGTTTCATTTCCATTGAATGGTTGCAAATGTATGCATGTGAATAGCTTTCTAATGATCAAATACTTTACAAACATATTTTGTTTCACTTAAAACAGGAATGCCTACCTTAAATTAGTGTTAGATATTATTTACTTTTTTATTTTATTGATTTTTTTACAGAGAGGAAGGGAGAGGGATAGAGAGTTAGAAACATCAATGAGAGAGGAACATCGATCAGCTGCCTCTTGCACACTCCCTACTGGGTATGTGCCCGCAACCAAGGTACATGCCCTTGACCGGAATCAAACCTGGGACCCTTGAGTCCGCAGGCTGACGCTCTATCCACTGAGCCAAACCGGTTAGGGCGTTAGATATTATTTTAAAAAGTAAAGTAGAAAGTTGAAAGAAAAAAAAACATTATCATCTTTTTGCACATATATTTAATTTTTGTTTTTTAAAACTATTGGATTTTATGCCATAAGTGTGTATGTGTGTGGGTGCACATGCATGTTGTGTGCATGTCTGTGTTAACCACTACAAACACCCACCACTGCTCCCCAGTTTTAGACTGTAACTTCTGTCTGTTATAGTTCTGTCTGAACTGAAGTAGTCTATGTGGCTTCCTACAAAAGATTAAAGCCCTGCAATATTTTGCAGTCGCTTCTGATATTTTGATTCAGACTTTAGAAAATTTTCATTTCATCTTCAAATTTTTCTTAGATTGTGTTCTACTGTTTCTTAAATTATTTGCTTAGAAGACTGGCAACAAAACACAATAAATTGATAACAAATCTCCTTGGAAAATATTATAAACTAAACATTTTAGACCTAACAGACACCTATTGAACATTCCCTCCCCAAACAGAAGACTATATACATACTTCACAAGTGCACATTGAACATTCTCCAGAAGAGACACATTTTAGGCAATAAAATGAGCCTCAATAAATTTGGCAGGGTTGAAATCATACAAAGCATATTCTCTGACCACAATGGAATTAAAGCAGAAATCAGTAACAGAAGGAAATCTGGGAAGTTCACAAATACATGGAAATTAAACAACAAACTCATAAATAACAAAGTCAAAGAAGAATCACAAGGAAAATTATAAAATACTTTGAAATGAATAAAAATAAAAACACAACATATGGCCTGGCTGGTGTGACTCAGTGGTTGAGCATTGACCTATGAACCAGGAAGTTGAGATTCAGTTTCTGGTCAGGGTATATGACTGGGTTGTGGGCTTGATCCCCAGTGTGGAGCCTGCAGAAGGCAGCCGATCAATGATTCTCTCTCATCATTGATGTTTCTATCTTTCTCTCCCTCTCCCTTCTTCTCTGAAATCAATTAAAAAAAATTAAAAAACCAAATACAACATATCAAAACATAATACAGCAAAAGCAAAGTTTATTGAGGCTCATTTAAAGGAAAATTTATAGCTGTGTATGCCTGCATTAAAAAAGAATGTCTCAAATCCATAGCCTAAACTTATACCTTAAGTAGCTAGAAAAAGAAGAGTGAACTAAACTGAAGTAAGCAAAAGGGAAGAAAGATTTAAGATTAGAGTGGAATTAAATGAAATAAAAAATAGAAAAACTAAAGAGAAAAATCAAGGAAACCAAAGTGGATTCTTTAAAGAAAGAAAAAAAAATTGACAATCTTTTATTTAAACTGACCAAGAAAGAGAAAAGACTAAAACTACTAAAACAAAAACAAAAGAGGAGGCATAACTACCGACCTTACAGAAATAAAAAGAATTATAAGAATCTTTTATAACTGACCAAGAAAGAGAAAAGACTAAAACTACTAAAACAAAAACAAAAGAGGAGGCATAACTACCGACCTTACAGAAATAAAAAGAATTATAAGGGAATGCAAGAACAACTGTATGAAAAAAATTAAATAACTCAGATGATATAGATGGTATAGATTTCCAGAAAAACACAAATTGCTGATACTAACTCAAGAAGAAATAATCTAAATGGACCTATAGCAAAGAAAGAGATGGAGTTAATATTTTAAGACTTCCCCAAAGAAAAGTCCAAGTTGGGGTAAATTCACAGGTGAATTCTACCAATAACTAAAGAAGATTTAACATCAGTCCTTCACAAATTTTTCCAAAATAGAATTTATTCCCAAATTATTCTTTGAGGCCAATATTTTCCTTATACCAATGCCAGACAAAACATCACAAGAAAACTACAGACCAATATCCCTTATGTACATAGAGGCAAAAATCCTCAACAAAATACTAACAAACCAGATCCAGAAACATATAAGGATTATATACCACAACCAAGTGGGATTCATCCCAGAAATCCAATATTGGCTTAATATCTGAAAATCAATCAGTAAAATAAATCATTTTTATAGAATGAAGAACAAAGCCTGTAAAATCCAATAACCTATCATAATAACTATAGCAATAGAATTTCCTTAATTTGATAAAAAGATCTATGAAAAACCCACAGATAACATCATTTACAATTGTGAAAGACTGAACAGTTTCTCTTTTAGATCAACAAGAAAAGGATGTCTGGTCTTGCCACTTCTATTCAACAATATACTAGAGATTCTAGCCAGGGCAATTAGGCAAGAAAAAGATATAACAAAGATCCTAAATAAAGTACTGTCGTGTAGAACAAAATGTGAAGTTTGGGGGCTGTAAGGGCACTAAAAGTCATTGCTCTTCTTGCTCATAAAAAGAGAGGACAATACTTCATTGTCATATAAAATGGAAGACTCAATGTGTCTCTCTCCTAAGAAGCCAGCAGAAAGCTATGGATTTCACATCAAAATTAAGAAATAATTACTGATCATTAAAATATAAATGCAAAATGTGATATGTAAAGACAAGCATGCCAGAAATATAAAGACAGCAAGTAAAGATTCTAATTTCTTGAACAACTTGATTATGCCCTGAGATCTGGGAATGTTTTATGGATGTGAAGAAACCACCTATGCAGCTACCTGAATTGCAGGAATGATGACTACAGGTCCTTTCTCAGAAGGACTCATAAAAAAATCCAAGTCTATAAAGTGATCCCTGAAGGCTGGCAAGTGAAAGGTAAGAATTTCTCTAAAATGAAAACCATTCCACCAAACTGAACAATTGTAAGAAAAGGTAGGCAAAAACGGATATCTGGCCCAGCTGGCGTGGCTCAGTGGTTGAGCATCGACTTATGAACCAGGAGGTCATGATTCAATTCCCGGTCAGGGCACATGCCCAGGTTGTGGGCTCAATCCCCAGTGTGGGGCGTGCAGGAGGCAGCCGATGAATGATTCTCTCTCATCATTGATGTTTCTTTCTTTCCCTCTCCCATCCTCTCTGACATAAATTTAAAAAAATTTTTTTAAATGGATATCTGGATGGATAATAAATTATTTGGATAACTGATAGCTCTGTCCATGGTAGCAACAAAGACTAAATATTTTTATCTTAACTCATAAATCGGTGAGTAGTTATCATAGGAGATATCTGTTCAATCCATGGTAGCAACAAAGACTATTTTTATCTTAACTCCTAAATCGGTGAGTAGTTATCATAGGAGATATCTGTTCAGCAGGTTACACTTAATGTTTCCAATGAATCACCACATTGCTGCTTTTAACAAGCTATACAATGAACATTTTTTAAGATAATCAAAGCATCCACTCAATAAATCACAATTAAATAATGCTATTGAGAGGCTTAGCTTGACACGCAGGCAATCTGGGCAGGGGTCCAGTGGAAAACAAAGGCTGGTGGAACATACCTCAGGGGCAGACAGGGCAGTCTGAACAAGCCTAATCACAGAAACCAACCATGCAGGAACAACAAAATGTTTTCATGTGAAACTAGGGAGGCATGTGAAACTTGCTGGGCAAGAAAAATTGAGGGAATCAATCAGCATAGATATAGAGCAGGCTTGTAGCAAATATATACCCCTAGACTACCAGGCTTCACAGGAAACCCCATTATTGGGCCTCCCTCCCCATGTGGGGAGCCTGAATCTGCTTGCAATAAATTTTCCATGCATTTGCTTAAATCTTTTGGTCTGCAGAGCTCATTCTTTGGTGTCGAGAGACACAACCCCCTGGGGGAAAAACCTCGGCTCACTGTTCTGGTTATCACTACTTTCCTCAGAAAAGGACTCAGCGCAAAGTGCTATCCTCCACTCATCTCGAATGTATCTATCTCCTGGTACTAGGGTAGTAAATACTTGTCTTTTCACCAATCAGCCAATCTCCCATTTAAAAAATAAAATCAATTTTGCATGTGCAACAGACTAGGAGTCAATCAAGAATGTGACATTTTTGTCTAATCAGTTCACATCATTCTCTGCTGCATAAATAAATGATGTAGAGAGCAAAAGATACCCTGAAATCTATTCCAGAACACTGAAGTATAAAACATCCCACGTGTCCTGTCAAAGTGGTGTGAGTTTATACATGAATAGTGAGTCATGTGGATGGTTTCAGTGGCTGAAAAAGGCTCAGATAATGATCAGACATTGAATTCACAGTTCCCAGGGACCCATTGCATTTTAATTGATCAGTAAGCTTCATAGCGCAGGATTCTGTTCTATGAAACTAAGTGAAAAAATAATGTGCAAAAGTTGAAAAGGAGTTAGCCAAGTCACACAGATAATATCATGGTAGAAGCCTATTGGAAACTGTCTAATATCCCATTAACATGGAAAACCTACAGAATAAAAGTCAACCTGAAGCTATGGTTTTCTGGTACAAATCTCTCAGGATTTCTTCTTTGTGTGTGCAAAGTTTCTTTGGGTAATAACATAGAGGTTCAAGGGCACTTAGTATATTATTCAAAAGGATGTGTGCAAATATAGAGAAATAAAAATGTTACTGAATGAAAGAGGCAAATAATGATAGTGATTCAAAAGAGTTTCCAACTTAAGAGCCCTGAGTCTATAAGACCCAAGATCACTCCAGATCATTCTTATTGAAGTGAATAAATCTAAAGTGGAATAAACAGAACAGGTAACATCAGGAGATTATTTTATTGACAAAGAATGAATGGAGAAAACTTCATGAGCTTTACTTATCAGGTTACTCTTCATGTAAGGTATGACACAGCATGAGAAACAAACAAGACAAAGGGAAGAATCAGACCCCTGTGTAATGGACAGTAAACAGGTAAGGCAGAGTTAGAGGCAATGGCATAAAAAGAGCAATGCAGATAAAAGAGAAATCCCACAGTTATTCTGCAGGGATGTCATTTACACAAAAATACAGGGGGGAAATCAAATTATATTTTTAACTTCTAATCATATGATAAAACAAATTATAGGGTTATCTATATTTTACTTATATTGTGATTGTGGTTATGTTTATGCTTCAAAGAGTTTCAGAGTTTTGGATAGAGAGTTGGTTCATATTGCTAAGAATAAAACAGTTCAAAAAGTGTGATTTGTAAGTAAAAAAAAAAGTCTTAAACCCCAAACTATAAAGTGGTAGAAAGGAATGTGCTGTATGCATTTTATGTAGTAAAGAAAGAAAGCGGCACCAAAAAAATGTGAAGCAGCAAGGCCCACTTCAGATAAATGCCACTGGTGAGAAATCTGTGACATATAGCATAACCAGTCATTGTCTTGAATAAAATGCAATATTTACATTTACAAATTATTATTCCTATAAAATGGACTAAGAGCCATGTCATAAAAATCAGTGTTTACCATGGTTTGCAATTAAATGGATAGCTCGATGATGTCCCATTTCCTGGAGAATCTGTAAAAGGTCACCGACGGTCTTGTTTTTCTGTGCCCAGGACCAAAGTAATTCTCTTGTTCCACTTTTACCTTGATCTACATATTTTTCAATGTGACGAACGTCAAGCCAGGTGTTTGAAAGTCGCTCCGCTGTGGAAATGCAACAGGAAGAACCAAAGAACAGTTCACGTTATTGAAATATTTGGTGTGCCTTATGTGTTTTATTTAATTTTGTTTATAGTTTTTATTTTGAACTAACTTTAGTTCCTCACCCAGCTTCCCCTAATCTTAACATCTTACATAACCACAGTCCAATTATTAGTGATGACCTTATTCTAATCTCATGTTTTCCTACTGTCCTTTTTCTCTTCTAAAATCCCATCCAGTTTCCCGCATTACAATTAGTCATTATTTCTTTTTAATCTCCTCCAGTCTGATGTTCCTCAGTTTTTCCTTGTCCTGCAGGACAGGAAAATGCTATTGTGTTCTTCTCAATGCATAAAATCAAAAGGCTCATGATGTTGATGTCTTATCACTGGTGATGTTCATCTTGATCACTTGGGTAAAGTGATATCTGCACTACGAAATTATCTTTCCCTTTACTATCATTTCCTTTTAATATCATTAAATAGAGACCCGGTGCACGACATTCGTGCACTGGGAGGGGGGTTCCCTCAGCCCAGCCTGTGCCCTCTCGCAGTCTGGGACCCCTCGGGGGATGTCCAACTGCCAGCTTAGGCTCGTTCACTCCAGGGAGCAGACCTAAGCTGGCAGTCAGACATCCCCTGAGGGGTCCTTAGCGCTGCCGTGGAGACGAGAGAGGCTCCCGCCACCGCTGCTGCACTCACCAGCCATGAGCTCAGCTTCTGGCTGAGGGGGCTCCCCCTGTGAGAGCACCACTCAGCCAGAAGCCAGGCTTGCTGCTCCTTAGCACTGCCTTGGAGGCGGGAGAGGCTCCTGCCACCTCCACTGCGCTCGCCAGCCTTGAGCCTGCTGGTGAGCCCAGCTTCTTGCTGAGGCACTGACCACCAGGGGGCAGCTCCTGCGTTGAGCGTCTGCCCCCTGGTGGTCAGTGCGCATCATAGCAACCAGTCGTTCCACCATTCAGTCGACTTACATATTAGCCTTTTATTATATAGGATAACTATATTGGGGGAAATACTTCAAAACTATGGAAATATCCTGTTTCTCCTCAGATTTTGCTCATAAGTGTTCACATCTACTAGTGGAACTTGTTTATCACAATTATTACTCTGGTGTTTGCTTAATGGTAATATTTTTATTTTCTCTTTTTTCCTTCTATGTTCATTAGCTGTAATGCTTCTGTAAGAAAATGCTGTCTCTTCTCCTCCATTTGTTTAACTAATTTATTTATTTTTAACATCATGGACTCATGAATATCTATGTCATAGGTTAAAATCCAGTGCCATCATTATTTTACTTTGTTGCTAAAATTATTCCAGCTTTGTCTATTCAGGTTGACTCCTGTGTTCTTTTGACAAGTCCTATCATTTTTGGAACACTTCCTTATTTTCTGGCTCAGCAGATGTTCTAGGCCAGTGGTCGGCAAACTGTGGCTCGCGAGCCACATGCGGCTCTTTGGCCCCTTGAGTGTGGCTCTTCCACAAAATACCGACTTCTGCGCATGGGCCACGAAGTTTCAATCGCACTGTACATGCGCGCCCGCACGTGGTATTTTGTGGAAGAGCCACACTCAAGGGGCCAAAGAGCCGCATATGGCTCGCGAGCCGCAATTTGCCGACCACTGTCCTAGGGGCAAGATTACTGGGGCCTGAGCCAAGTTTAAAACTAGGAGTATTTCTAAAGAGAGGCCAATTCTTAAGGAATTATTGGATAGGGTACACTATTCTGTGGAGGGGGGGAAGGTGGGGGAAATCATGGAGTTTCAGTTTGAAAAACAAACAGAAGAATGAAATTTGAGCCTCATGAACTATACTGTCTTCTAAGGAGAAAAGTTGCCAGTCAAAACAGCATTGTTGGCCTCCTGGAATTATGTAGAAACATGTTGGTTTAGTGGTGGCTCTGCCATCGACCTATGGTGCCAGTGCAGACAAGTCATAGTCTCACTGAGCAACCTGAAAATTCTCATCAGTATCTGTCTTTTGAAGTAATCTTTCCCCAAAACATAATAGCAAATTAGTTTGCTTCCCTGGCCTGCTAATTATATGAGCATTGACTTTAAAACCCCTCCAGTCTTTAAAATACTTCCTAGTCTCAAAATTAACATTCCAATGAGGAAATGCTAAATCTCAACGTTCAGTGAAGGGGAAACTTAGGTTTCCACTTTTTCTATTAGTAAGATAACTGGCTAATATTTAGATAATATTAGGCATAATGTACCATACAAATTAGTAATATTTATAGTAACATAAAACAGGATTCTTTTTCTTTCTTTTTTGTTTTTAAAAAATATATTTTTATTGATTTCAGAGAGAAAGAAGAGGGAGATAGAGATAGAAACATCAATGATGAGAGAATAATAGACTGGTTGCCTACTGGGGGGTCGAGCCTGCAACCCGGGCATGTGCCCTGACCTGAAATTAAGCCTGTCACCTCCTGGTTCATAGGTCGACACTCAACCACTGAGCCATACTGGCCAGCCTCTTCTTATTTCCTTTATTTTTCAGGAAAAACAGTTCCCTCTACACTTTGAATCTTTGGGATAAGACATATGTGTAATTTAATAGGGGTGAAGAAAGAAGACTCCCTTGTGGGCTATCAGTCAGGGAAAGAGCGTGAGGGTGATGCCACCTTGGCTGGCTTTGCAGCAGGGGTCGGCTGGGGTAAAGTTTAAATAGGCCGAGGGAAGATTGAAAGAGCCTGTCAAATGGGGAATTGTTCCAGAAATGGAGAAAAGAGCAGGAGGAGGCAGAGCACACCAGTGTTGCTTAGAGCAGAGGTTTATGTTTAAGAACAGGTGGACGAGCTTCATGAAGTCCCCAAGTTAGCTTTGTAAGGATATGCTCAGCACATAGTGGATGTTCAATATATATTTACTGAAGGACAAAGAGGGACCTGAGTGTTCGCATAAGTTAGATTGGCCAATTTAAGATTTCTGATGCAAAGATGGAAGCTTTACTTTTTGGAAGAGCCATCTGGTGGCAATAGTAGCAGGAGTCTTCTTATATACAAGATTTGCACATAAAAAGATATAAGCATTTTCTCCCGATTCTCACAAGAGGAAAGGAACTTTTTTTTTTTAACTATTAAGGAAACCTGGAGTTAACTTTTCAAGGTCCAAAGGATGTCAGATTTCCCATATAATTCCATTTCCCGTTTTCCCTTCTCTTTTTTAATTTCTGAATTTTCCTTTTAAAAGTACGACAGGCCATGAGTCTGTGCTCTCCGGTCCTGTGACTCGGCTGAGAAACTGCTAATGTAATATGTTCTTCCTTGCCTGGCTGGTGTGGCTCAGTGGTTGAGATTCGACCTATGAACCTGGAGGTCACAGTTCAATTCCTGGTCAGGGCACATGCCCAGGTTGCCAGGTCCATCCCAGAGGGGGTATGCAGGAGGGAGTCTATCAATTATTCTTTCTCATTATTGATCTTTCTATTTCTCTCTCCCTCTCCTTTCCTCTCTGAAGTAAAAAAAATTTTTTTTTTTAAAAAGAAACATTCAAACCTGTAAAAAAATTTTTTTAAAAAATGCTCTTCCTTAAGCACATTTCTGAGATTCAGCTGGTGGGTGAGTGAACAGATGCCAAAAAAGCTAGAGTTCTTAGTTCCCTAACACTGACCAGGGGCAAAGGGCTTTGAGTTTGCACTGTCTAAGGAAAGCTACATTAGGCAAAGGCATTTTTTTGATAAGAACAGTTCCCAGTGTGAAACTGACTGGTGCTCAGTTAAAATGGATACTGCATACATGGGTTGCTTCCAGGACTAGCAATGAAATGTGTTTTCTTTCTCCAACTAGTGATCCAAGTGCAACCTCAATAGGTTTTCGCCAATGATAATGCATTCTGAATAGTAACACCACTGAAGAGTATTATTAGCTTCCATAAAATGTATAATTCATTTAGATCAAATTCCACAAAACAATACCATCAATTTGATGCAAAAGGATGCAAACTCTTGACTTTAATTATATTCCTCAATATTCCTAGTTTTCTCTTATCCTTCTGTATTTGTTCCCTTCCAGGACATAGAACTTTGTTTATTCATGGTACTAAACAAATAAAGAGTAAACTTCTCTATGATTGTGTTGTTAAAGTTAGGAGCATTCTAAATAAAAAGATACATTAAAATATGCTGTAGCATGAAAAAAGATATAGTAACTATGAAAAAGAATAGTTTGAGATAAAGAATGACATAACATAAATAAAGAACATATTGAAAAGAATACACAGCAGATTAGGGGAAGCTGAGGATCGAATCAGTGAATTAGAAGACAGAGTTGAAAATATCACTCAATCAGAGAACCAAAAAGAAAAAAACAATTAAAAAACAGGAAAACAGCTTAAGGAATCTGTGGGACAATGTGAAACATAACAATATTTGAATAGCAGGTGTGCCAGAAGAGGCAGAAAGGGAGAAAGGGATAGAGAACGTGTTTGAAGAAATAATGGCAGAACTTCCCTAACCTGGTAAAGGAAAAAGTCACACAAGTTCAGGAGACACAGAGAACCCCAAGCAAAAAGAATCCAAACAGGCCCATGCCCAGACACATCATAATTAAACTGCCAAAAATTAAAGACAGAGAGAATCTTAAAGGCAGGAAGAGAAAAGAAAACTGTTACCAGCAAAACTATCATTCAAAATAGATGGTCAAATAAAGAGCTTCCCAGACCAAAAAAAAAAAAAAAGACTAAAGGAGTACATCACCACCAAGCCAGCATTACAAGACATGCTAAAGGGACTACTGTAATAAGAAGAAATAGAGAGAGACCTAGCCATACAGAATTAAAATCGCAATAAATAAGTACCTCTCAATAATAACCCTAATATAAATGGATTAAATGCTCCAATCAAAAGGCACAGGGTAGCTGAATGGATACAAAAACATGACCCAACTATATACTGTCTACAAGAGACCCACCTCAGAACAAAAGACACACACCAGATGAGAATGAAGGGATGGAAAAAAAAAATTTCCCATGCAAATGGAAAAGATAAAAACCTGGAGTAGCA